GTGGTCACTTTGGATCCATGCTTACCACTTAAAAGGAAGAAGTCTTTGGGAGGTCAGGGCTACTCCAGCTAGCTCCTGGAATTGGCAGAATATCTTGAAGCTAATGGAGGTGATAAGACCCCTTTTGTTGCACAAAGTTGGTAATGGCAATGACACCTTCTTATGGCTTCATAACTGGCATCCTAATGGTCCTCTGTTCTCTAGATGGGGACATATTCCTATCCTTGCTTCTGGCCTCAACATGAATCCTAGAGTCTGTCGCATTATCTCCGAGAATCAATGGAATTGGCATAATGCTTCTTCTCCTGCCCTTCTTGATATTGTTGTTTCTATGCCTGCTTATGCACCTGATCAGCTCTCCGAAGATAAGGTCTTATGGTCCCTCAATTCAAATGGCAGATTGTCTACCTCTTCTGCTTGGCAATATATTAGAAACACTGGACCAAAAATCTCTTGGTATAAGCTTGTTTGGTACAAGCAATTCATCCCCAGAATGAGTTTTATTTTGTGGCTTGCAATTAGGCAAAGATTGTACACCAAGGATAGAGCTCACTCTCCCTCCCACCACGCTAACCTGGGATGCATCCTATGTAGGCAATCTCCTGAGTCTCATCCTCACCTCTTTCTTGAATGCTCATATTCCTATGTTATATGGACTCACATCCTGTCTTGCAGTCGTATCCAGTGGTCACCTACTAACTGGCCCTCTTTCATTAGTTGGGCAGCTCTCCATTGGAAGGGGAATTCGATCTATGCTGTTGTTTTGAAGTTGAGTCTTTCGGTTGCTATTTACCATATGTGGATGGAAAGGAGTTTTAGAGTTTATACCAACTAATTCAGGGATTGTAATACCCTGACTCATATCATCAAGCAAACAATCAGAGACAAGCTCATTTTTACTAAGTTCAAGAGTTCCCCTCTTAATCTTAGAATGCTGCAATTATGGGACTTATCGCACAATTGTTTGTTATAATCTTCTCCTTGGATTGGAACAGCCTAGTCATCATGCCGCCTGGTCATCATGTACTCTGTTTTGATCCTTCAGCTTCTACAATTATGGGATCTTCTACTGGGTTTTCCCCTTCCTGCTTGGACCGTTCTTTTTCCTTGTAATGCTTTACCTTCCATTGGATGCTCAGGTTATGAATTTACGGGGAAGTGCTGTCCAAGGCCTACACTTCCCCATAAATTCTTTTGCGTTGCATCTCTGCTACCTCTTGCTTTTTGTTGTTGTGTTGTATCTATGCTTNTTATGAATTTACGGGGAAGTGCTGTCCAAGGCCTACACTTCCCCATAAATTCTTTTGTGTTGCATCTCTGCTACCTCTTGCTTTTTGTTGTTGTGTTGTATCTATGCTTTTGTGTTGTATCTATGCTACTGTTTGTTACTATGTTGTAACAATGCTTTGTTAAGCTTCTTTAATACATCTTTCACTTTTCGGAAGTGTGTATGATCCAAAGTCATTTGAGGATCGGGCTAGAATTGTTGAAATAGAATTATTTACAAACAGAAACTTATACGAGACAAGCAGAGACTACTTGAGCTGAGTCACACATTGCATGGATCGGACTCGTTTATAAAATGAGTACAAAAATCTGATCAAATTGAAATTATTTTGTTGTTTGAACAAGTATGTAAAACAGACTCCTAGATCATTCACTACCCTAGCTATAGAGGCAATAACTAGCACATATATGAATTTCTTTGCTTATCCTCTCTCAGAAACATTGATGCTCTCAGCAAATGTTGGAGGACTATGGCCATATATTTATTGTTTATGGAATATTCTTGATTTCTATGCAACTTGCAGAGAGAAATTTGAGTGGTGAGTGATCAGAATAACATCAGTCCAATGGTGGACTCAAGTGAACTACGTTAATTCTCATTCTTTGAGACTGAGAATGCCAATCACTGACGACTACAAGGTGATGTTGCCTTTAGATGGTCACACGACATGAATTAAAATTTCTTGCTATTTTTTTTTTTTTTTGGAAAATTTGTAAATAGACTTTTGATTCCAGTTACACAACATGAACAAAAATTTGGGTTCAATTCTTTAGTTTGATATTCAATTTCGATTTGTTAATAAAATAAGCTAAAATTTGAGTTCGATTTGAAGGTTATACATTTTGAGCTAAAAATTCATGATCGGGTCGAATTTGGTCTGAAAAACCTGAGACACAAGTCCGAGGGAGAAAAATAAAGAGCCTAAGGAAAAAATATTTCAACGGATAAAAATGCTAGACTACCAATTACTAAAGAATAATGTTATTGACATCTAAAAAATTGACTTAATGATGTGATAGTAATGTGTTCTAATAGGAGGTTTTTCCCAAATCCATTCTCCCTCAAAACATAATTCCCAAACCCAATCACTTTTAAACTTAATTCTCAAACCTAATTTTTTTTTACAAACNAGTAATGTGTTCTAATAGGAGGTTTTCCCCAAATCCATTCTCCCTCAAAACATAATTCCCAAACCCAATCACTTTTAAACTTAATTCTCAAACCTAATTTTTTTTTAAAAAAGTCATTTGAAATGACACCTTCTCACCTAAAAACGTCATTTGAAATGACTATTTGAAGTTTTAATTTTTTTCCCGAACACGTCATTGATAATGACATTTTTAAAGTCGTCATTCAGAATAACTATCTATAGTGTAGTATAACTATCTATAGTATAGTATAAACTACGAAATAACCAATCAAAGATCTAGCAAAGCAAACCCAATTGAATTTTACAGCTCATAACCAATTTCAGTTCACCCAAATTAAATCATCCATAAAAAGCTTCGAACCCAAACAAAAAAAAAACTAAATCAATATCAGATACTTCTCAAATAAAACCATAGAATCATAATCAAAATGAGGCCATCAAATTATAGCAGAAGTATCAATCAAATACAAAAAAGTCCCTTAATACCCATCTCTAATTGTCACCAAAATTACCAAGAAAACTCAAACTAGGTCCAAGACAATACTCATAAAACGAGTACTTAAACAACTATGACATATGAAATCAAGCAGAACAGATGAAAATGGAGAACAAAACATACCCTTTAACCTCCTCAGAATCTCAGCTTGGAGAAAAATCACCTTTTCTTGTCATAGGACTGAAGAACATCGCCTGGTGGTGCTACGATGGTGATGGTGCTGCGAATTGGGGGTGACTGATAGTGACAGTTGGTTAGGGCTTTTCAGATAGTGCTGATGAAGGGAAAATAAGATCGTGAGGCTACTGATTCATTTGCTCTGGGGGGTAGTGGTTATGGGTGGTGCTGCGTGGTCGTGGTTCTGCGATGGTGGTGATTGAGAATGTATGCTATGGGGTTGCTGCGATGTCGCCTNTTGGAAAAAAGTTACAGAATAGAAAACGTTATTTAAACAAAGGGATGAAATAAAAACGTCGTTCAAAATGACGTTTTCATCCTCTTTGTAATTTTTAACATCTATTATTGCCGTTTAAAAAAATTATTTTTAAAAATGTCATTCTGAATGACGACTTTAAATCGTCATTCTAAATGACGTTTTTAGGTGAGAATGTGTCATTTTAAATAACGTTTTTTTAAAAAAAATTGAATTTGAAAATTAAGTTTAAAAATGATTAGGTTTAAGAATTATGTTTTGAGGGAGAATGGGTTTGGAGAAAACCTCGTTCTAATAGTGTTACTGTGACAGTAACTCTTAAATTATTTCATTGAGACTCCATCACTTGACATATTATTACATTTATAATTAGGTCAATTTTTTAGATCTCAATACCATTACTTATTACTTAAAAAAACTAGATTGGGCTAACTAAGAGTTCGGGAAAATATACTATAGATCGTTAGGGGTCATTTTGAAATATATGACATTAGTGGGGCCATGTTGGAATTTAAAAAAATAACAACATGAAACATATCTATTAATAAAAAAATGTTTTATATACCAAAAAATTACTTTTACCAAATAAGTTAAACATTCTTTCGATTGGGAAAGGTCTCATGAATTGCCTGTTAAAGTGTTTTTGGAAAGACAAAAAGCAAGCACCGTACGTACGATCAATTTAGTGAATAAGAACTTGAATTTTCTTTGTTTAATGCTTACTGTCGAATCTCCATATTTATTACAGTTTGATAGATCTAAATCTAATCTTGAGCGCCCAGATCACGTGATAGGACTTAAGTATCGGCCGCGACAGAAATACGGTAAAGTCTCTCGCATGTAGTCTCAATGGATATGTAAAATTTCTTAGTTACATATCCATTTTCAACTTTTTTTTTTAACAAAAAAAAAGGAAGACAAAAAAATGTCAATTCATTTGAAGATACTGTTTTTTTATAAGAGCAATGCTACATGATTTTAAAAATTAAATTTAATAATCTTAATTATTGATTTTACTGTAGATTTCAGTATTTATTGAGGTCCACTACGTATTTAATGCTTAAAATTTTCAAGTCTAATTTTTAAATTCATATAACATTATTCTTTTGATAAATATTTTTATATGAATAGCGTTGTTATAGAGAATAATAAAAGAGGTACGGGAAATGAAGAGCTCTATATAAATGCAAGCTTGCGTATCTAGTGAAACAATAGAGNTTGGAAAAAAGTTACAGAATAGAAAACGTTATTTAAACAAAGGGATGAAATAAAAAGGTCGTTCAAAATGACATTTTCATCCTCTTTCTAATTTTTAACAACTATTACTATCGTTTAAAAAAATTATTTTTAAAAATATCATTCTGAGTGACGACTTTAAATCGTCGTTCTAAATGTCATTTGTAGGTAAGAATATGTCATTTTAAATAACGTTTTGAAAAATTAAACTTAATAATCTTAATTATTGATTTTATTGTAGATTTCAGTATTTATTGAGGCCCACTACGTATTTAATACTTGAAAAGTCTAATTTTTAAATTCATATAACATTATTCTTTTGATAAATATTTTTATATGAATAACGTTGTTATACAGAATAATACAAGAGGTACAGGAAATGAAGAGCTCTATATAAATGCAAGCTTGCGTATCTAGTGAAACAATAGAGCTACAAGACTTGTACTTGTTCTTGGGGCCTTACGTAACCTTATCCCAACTCTCTTTCTCTCTCTCTCTCTCAAAATCAACCATGACTTCCTACGGAGGATACAGAGTCGTTTCCAAGGGTGCGGAAGTGCGCCTTGAAGAGGAACAGCTAAGAAAAATTTTCGAGAAGTACGACAAAAATGGCGATCACAAACTGTGCAAAGAAGAGTTGAAGGAAGCCTTTAATTACCTGGGGGCATACATTCCTGGATGGAAAGCTTGGCGTAGTCTCCAAGTTGCAGACACCAACGGCGATGGATTCATCACTGAGGATGAGATGAAGAAGCTTGTCACTTATGCCCTCAAAGCTGGATATACCGTCAAGTAACTCAACTGCATGTGTACGGTGTACCTATAATATATGGTTGGAAATTGTGAGTGATCTTATATATTAATGTGTGTTATAAAAATCTGCCTGCGGTTTCAACTTTCTTTGCGAAATCCATGTACAAGGATGCAGATATTATCATAATGGTGGAAGTTATTGTCTTCTTTTTCACTAATGTAATCCATCTACATGTTTCTTTTTTAATATGTTTTTCCTTCTTTTCTCGAGAATCCCTAGCAACACACACACACATATGCACCATGGGAGGCGGGAGTCCATGTTATTAACGTATTTGAATTCGATCACTAGTGTTTTCATAGGCAGTAATTTGGAATTTGGGAAATGAAATATATATTTTTTCGAATTTTTGTACTTTTTAAAAATTTATTTCACTTACCAAAAAATAGAAAAGAGAGAGAATTTACTTCTTTGTAAAACTTCAGTATAGAAAAAATCAACGCCAATACCACAAGTTAAAGCATTGGACCATCCCACCTAATCTGATTTCAATGATCGAAGCCTGCGATTCTCATACCACAAGTGGGGATGGCAGTTAACCGTGTAAAAATAGGTATTCGTCCAAATTCGTCATGTTTGGATCGAGGATGGATTAATACGTATTAAATGATAGACGTATATGAAAATACTCGTATAAATTCGTGCGGAGATGAAGGTGAGAATGAACTAACACTTANAGGTATTCGTCCAAATTCGTCATGTTTGGATCGAGGATGGATTAATACGTATTAAATAATAGACGTATATGAAAATACCCGTATAAACTCGTGCGGGGATGAAGGTGAGAATGAACTAACACTTATCCCCTCCCCGCTTATTATTATTATTATTGTTGTGAATACAAATTTACATATTATTGAATTTTTTTTTTTTAAATTGTTTTGTTTTTTGATTTTTTTTTTTCATGTTTTTGGCTTGTAAAAGTGTAAATCTTTATTTTTTTTATGTTGGGTTATGTAGTTTAGTATACATAGAAACTAGAAAAAACTAAAAAGATACTTACATGATGTTGTGTTGGATTTATATGGGAGACAAACTTTTAATTATATTATGTTAGATTTTGTTGTAGGTAAGGTTTTAATTATATTATGTTGGATTATATTGTAGACAAGGTTTTAATTATATTATGTTAGATTATTTTGTAGANTTATATTGTGTTGGATTTATATGTGAGACAATGTTTTAATTATATTATGTTGGATTATGTAGTAAATGACAAGTTTTTAATTATGTTATGATATTTTCTAATTATGTTGAATTATTTAAAATATTATATTTATTTAGAATTTTGGATTATGTTGGTTTGGACTTACACTGTAGACGAGTAAAGTGGACAGAGGCGGGGTGGGGGTGAAGGCGGGGGACGGGGTGAGGACGAAGATTATAAATTTACTCGCGGATGAGAATGGGGATGAAAACTATACCCGTTAACAGAAGTGAATCGGTGATGAACATAATTTTTTTAAACGAGTACGGAGATGAAGACTACCCCCGGGCTCCCGCTTCGGTCCACTGTCATCCCTAACCACAAGTGTGTAGAAAGATACGTTGGTATAAGACACCATGGTTAGAACATTGGGTTATACTCTCTTACAAAAAAAAATATATTTTTTGATACCATACATCTTCTTTTTACCTACTTAGAGTTCCTTTTCTTTTAAAATATATATATATATATATATTTCCTCGTCTATATAAATGCAACCTTGTATATCCCGCCTGACCATGGAGAGTATACCAGTAACTGTGCACGACCTGACAACTTATACAGTTGAGATTGGGAGTGTAATCCATAAAGTATATTTTCTCTTGGGCCTTGAAAGGAATTGAGGGTAAACTACATATCATACATTTGAGTGCAACTCGTTATGCATAAATGGGTCCCCACCATATATAATTGATGATCTAAAATTAAAAAGTATTACGACAAAGATGTAATGTCAAGTATCTAAACTTTTTCAGCACCTAAGGTGCGACGACTACTGGTACTAGATCAGGTTCTCACAGCAATGTGTCAGTCCACTTTGATATGTCGAGAACACCACTTAGATTAGATTCGACTCTCAAGATTCCCCTATTCTATGGGATTTACCAAAAAAGATGAGAGTAGATGGAAAGATTCCAATAGAAAATTCTTCATTATCATTTTTGCCTTTTTTTTTTTTAGTGAGAATGTGATATTCTGGCTAGCCGGGATAGTTTCCAACAAAGGGTGGGTCTAGAGTTCATCCATGCCCACAAATTTCTTGTCCCAAATAGTGCACAATAAATTTTGCCAAATTTTAAGTTCTATTAATTTCACCTTAAACCCTAAACCCTAAACATTTTCGATCTGAGGGTGGTGCAAAAAGATTGGTTTTGAACAAATGCGAAATAGTTNTGAGGGCGGAGATTATAAATTTACTCGCGGATGAGAATGTGGATGAAAACTATACCCGTTAACAGAGGTGAATCGATGATGAACATAATTTTTTTAAACGAGTACGGAGATGAAGATAAACCCTAAACGTTTTCGATCTGAGGGTGGTGCAAAAAGATTGGTTTTGAACAAATGCGAAATAGTTTCACTCATGTATCGTTCTCAAATTATTCGAGTTAGCTCTAGAAATCAAAATTGTTTGTTGTCAAATAATATCTAAACGCCAAACATCCAATCGTTGAAAATATAAATAAGACACAAATTCACATGAGTTTTTGCATGTTGGACTGCGTAGATTTCACTGTTTCGACTATACTTACCATCTTAAGGCACCAATCTTGATAAAATCTTACGTGAATAGTATATGGTAATGAATTAGACCATCCCACCAACAGAGAATTAATCTGCTTTTGATGATTGAAGCTTACGATTCTCGTAAAACAATAAGGGTTAAAGGCTCCAAGGGCATATGATGCCATTGTCACGCCACTAGGTTCTTGTTGAACCGGCCTGTGTTATTCTTTCTTCAACATTCCTTCCCCCAATCCTTTTGATAAGATGCTAAAACATGTGATTCAGAAATGAGAGACCGTATGTGGTTCACATGCAACTTATAGCATCATGCATGTTGACATAGGATGACAATGGAAATTTGGAATAAGATAAATAAATAAAAAATCCATAGATGTGCTTACTAATTGAGCCAAACTTGTCGAGATTAAGTATGCTTGCTTAATTGGCTGAGTTTGATAGTCATAGCTTAACTTTTTGGAAAAATAAATTAAATAGAAACTTATGTGAGACAAGCGAAGATTGCTTGACCTAAGTAATATGTTGCATTGAAGAGCTCTATATAAATGCGGACAATATTAAGATACCCAAAAAACTTTTGATATCATACCAAAATTTAATATTTTTAGGAAGAATACTATTTAAGCCTAATTTTCCTATTGGTAGAAAGGATAGAAAATAGCAAGGATGAAAAGCAAAAGGTATACACTTTCTATTATTGAAGGAAAAAAAAGTATGAATGATACACTTTCTTTCCTTTGTATTTAGTAGGACGGATGGAAAATAAAAAATGATTATTTTTTGTTTTTGTACTTGCCAAGATTAAGTTGACAATCCAGTCGTATCGTGTCAAGTTCGTGTTGAATCATTGCGAGTTCATGTCAAACATTAGTTAAACCTAATTCAACTGATTTAACTAATTGCCTCGTATCGAATTGACCTGTTTATTTTCGTGTTCGTGTTCGTGTTCGTGTTCGTGTTCGTGTTCATGTTCATGTTGACTCACATAAATTTTGAATTAAAAATTTAACACTAATATTTTATTTTAACTTAATTGAATTCATTGTCATATTTTTTCTACAAAGTAAAAATTAACTTAAATAAATATAATAATAAGTAAAAATATCTGTTTTTATATAAAAATTATGTCAATACTTAATAAATAATTATAAATAATTAAAATTTTATATCTATAATAGTAGTTAAACATGTTAATTTCATGTTACCACACAAATGAGAAAATAGATAAAGTGTTTATTTTTAAATAAACTGGCCAATAGTGTTAATTTTGGATTTGACGAGTTGAACTGAATATGAGCCGTTTATATTTTGTGTTCTCGTGTGTCAGATTATTTTCGAGTTTGTGTCGAGTTATTTTTGAGTTCGTGTCATAAAATTCATATCAAATTCGAGTCATATCATCATGTTAAGTCGAAAATTTTCACCTCAAGCTAAGATGGAAAAAAAATTTTTTATTTTAAATTTATTTTATTTTTTTATTTTTTATTTTTTATTTTTTAAAATTTTTATTTAAATTTTTTTTTAAAAATATAAATATATATTTTTTCATTGTATTTATATATGAATTTAATGTGTACATAATATATGTATATATCAAAGAATATATAGACAAATAAGATACATTTCAAAACAAATAATTAACTTTTCATTCACTTTCCTTCCGATTTTGGAGGGATTGATTTTGGTGAGTTGAAAGGAAAGTTCATTCATCCACTTTTCCATTCATCTTATATTTCATCCTTATCAAATATAATGTTTTATCTATCCCTCTAACTTTTCATCCTTCTAATTTTTTATCATTCTATTTTTTCATAATACCAAATGGAACATAATTAATTTGAGAACCTAATTCAATACAACTATCGACTTGAAATTGAGTTCCACATAACATTAGAACTCACAATTAATTCAATGGGTATATTGAATTAGGTTTGCAAATTTAATAGCGTTGCCCTATTTTTAGTGGTCAAGCTATGCTTTTTAAAAGTAAACTTACAGCTCATTAATGATCAATCATAAGATATTGTGATCAATGATAAATAACCCAAATTAATTATAAACTTACTAGATATTTAAAAGATATAACTATATTTTTAAATTTCACAATTGACTATAAAATGTTGTGATCAATAATGCTATTTGGAGTTATAACTTACAAACTCAAAAAATAAAAAAGATTAATTTAATCCCAAGAGATTATAACTTTTTGATTCGGTATCTTCTTTAACATCGTTCTTCCTCTATGAATGCA